CCCCCCCCCCCCCCAGGCGCTGCCAGTCGAGAAACCAGTTCTGTTCCCATCCTGGATAAGGATCTCTGGGCTGGGCTCTTCCCAGGCAACGGCAGGAACCTGGCGGCCTGCGGCACCCCTGCCACCAGCCAGGCCGCCGGGGTCTCCCCACGTCGGCGGGGGGTGGGGGGGTGGCCTGCCCCTTCCTCACCAGTCCTGCCCTGGCCTCCTTCCCCTCTAGGAAGACCTCCCAGCGGCCCTGTAAGGGGCAGGGGGCCTCCCTTGCCTTCTCCCTTGGGTGCCCCAGAGGCTGGTCCCTCTCCCCCTGCCCCCTCGGCGCCCCCCCAGGCTCCCAGGCTCCCCACGGGGCCCTGACAATTGCTCCCTACGGCGGGGTCAGCCCCTCGCCCCAGTCGCGGGCACGGAAGGGGGCAGGGTGACACGGGCTTGACCCCACTTAACCCCAGCCCATGGTCTCCTCCCGAACCATCATTCCCACGACATTCTGGTCCCTTTCTCGTCCCTCGGAGCTTTCCCCCCACCCCCCAACTCTGCCAACTGGAAGGGTTTTAAAAGGTCATCTCCTGCATTCTTCTGCCTCCTCGTCAAATGTCTGCCTGACCTCTGCCCCTGCCCGGCGCCCCAGAAACCTCAGACCACTCCCAGCTCCTTCACCAGCACTGCACTGGCTTGGCCAGCCTCTCCCAAATGCCTGCGGGGATTCAACCGCTTGCAGGGGCTGTGGGAGATCAGAAGGCAGAGAGGAGGGCAGCTCTGGCAGCCACCGGGGAGACCTGGGGCGTCTGGAGGAGACTTGACTCAGGTCCCAGCCCCCACCCCCACCCTTGGAGGTGAGCAGGTGTGACAAGCCAGGCTGGGATTCAAGCTGGTGACTCAAGCCCGAGCAGCCGACAGCTGCACGGTCCACGGCCGCAGCCAGCCCTCCCTTCCGCCGCCCCGAGGTGGAATCTTAGAAGCTGGGAATTCTAGAACCAGGGAACAGAGTCCCAGAAGGAAGGGCCCTCGGGGATCATGCCTCTCCTTTGTTTGAGAGGAAACTGGGGACCAGAAAGGGGTGTGGCCTGCTTGGGGGGTCGCTAGGACGTCAGGGAAATCACTGGTCACACAAAAGGGGGCTGCTTGGCTTTAGCACAAAGCAGGTGTCAGCTGGGCCCCTCCACACCCTCTCGCTCTCTGGGTGGACTGGGTTCTTCCGTGTGCAGAGAACTCTGTTCCCTGTGCTCTTATTTTCCATCCCTCACCCTGAGTGGAGCAAGCCTGTGACCTCACTGGGCCTCCCTCTCCTCCTGGGCCGCAGATTTTGAGGCCAGGACAGGTGCGGGGGGCCGTTCAGCCTCAGGTGAGGGATTATAAGCTAAGGTTTCAGCAGGAGCCTGAAGGCAAGGGTATCCAGCCCAGAGGTGTTCAGCCCAGAGCCGCCCGGGGAGGGGGGAGCCACCTTCCCCTGGCCCAGCGTGCTGCGGGAGGGACACCCAGCCCCCCACCCATCTCAGCCCACCCAGGCATGTGTCTGAGCATAAGGAGTGGCGGGGGGGGGGGGGGCGGTCACCGCCCCCCTGCGTGGCACACGGCCACAGGTGTTGTCGCTGTTTCCGAGGCCCTACAAAGGGAGGATCCAGGCCAGGCCAGGCCTCGGATGGGCAGCATTTATTGACAACCATTTTCAGAGCGTGAGCGCGGTGCAGACGCCGTGGGGGGCAGAGCCAGTGCATTCCCTGGCACCTGTCATCAACCTCAGGGCCACTGAGGAAATATCCCCTGACCCCCGACCAGGTGCCAAGCACGTCATCCCACGGCCCCCCCCCAGCTCCGGAGCCAGGCTGGGACCTGGGAGCCCGCCGCGTGGGACAGGGCGCCGAGGAGGAGGGCCCCCTCCCCACCGTAGCCTCCCCACCCTCAGGTTGCCTGGGGCTCAGCTCCAGCCTCCCCTCCCAGCCGCGCAGAGGCTAGACCTTTCAGACAAGCTTTCCTGTAATTGTCCTGTCATCACGGCTCCGACGCAGAAACCAGCCAAGGGACTGTGGAAATGCAGAGGCAGAAAGGTGAGGTCACCCTTCCAGCAGCCTGTCTCGGGGCAAGAACGCAGGCCACGAGCCAGCGGAGTCTGACACTTACTGGAGAAGGAGACGTCCGCCCTCCCACAGCCCTCTCTGGCTCACCCCTTCCCTTCGCACCCAGCCCTCCCGGGAAGTCCTTCCCAAAGGCTAACTTAAGTGCCACCTGCTGTGGCTTTAGGTCCTCATCGGACGGAACCCAGAGGACAGGCTCCATTCTCAGGCGGCTTCAGGGACCGGCCAGAGGAGCGTGTGGGCGCACCCGGGGCGGGGACACCGCCGTCACCTCACCTTTCTTCGCTCTCTCTCCACCCCACTCTCCCAGCCCTCCCCTCGCCTTAGCCCCCCACTCCAGCTCCTGGCTGGGAGCCAGCATTGTTCCCGCCAGGCTCCCTGCTCCCCTCCTCCTTCCCTCCCTGGGCACCCGCCTGCCCGGTCCCTTCCAGGGGGTGGGGGGCGGGGGTGGAGCAGGACTTCATCACAGGCTCTGCTTCCTCATCACGTTGCGTCCACCGACAGAGAAGGCTGGGGAGCTTGGGTTACTCAGGGCCCCCGGTTATTTTTAATGCCACCAGCTCACAAGATAAATATACCTCCCCACCCCCCAGCTGCCCAGAGTCCCTCCTTCCCCCACCATTCACCCAGTCTCCTCACATGGGGACTCACAGCTAACGCCTTCTCCTCACATGCCCTCCTGGTGGGTCTCCCTCCGCCCTGGACTCCCAGTGGGAGGTGTCCTAGAGACACGGCATCCGGCAAAGGGCTCCCAGGGGAGCCTCCCCCTGCAGCGGGAGGCAGGGGGAGGCTGGCGCAGGCCTCCCCGAGCCCTGGGGAGGAGGTGCTGGACGGGGGTCGCTCCTGCAGCTTGGTGGGCCTCCTCTCTGACCCCACTCCACTCCTGTTTGGTCCCACAACGCAAGCAAGTTCTTTCTGGAATTAACGTCTGGGCCTCTTGCTTTGGGTCAGGGAACACTGGTTCAGGGCAAGCACTTCAGCTCCGGGGAGGGCTGAAGAGCAGGCCTGGGATCAGGACGGATTGTTGTTCGTTCCTAGATTGTTGGGGTGTCTGTCTCCGCCCAGGCCCTGGGACAGATCCCAGGCGGCCCAGCCTGCAGAAGGCAGCCGTCTGTGCACCGGCGCCGGGCACGCGCTCTCTCGGCGGCACCTGCTATGGCACAGAAGCAAGGCTTCGGACCTCGCGTCTGTCCGGCCTGGTACCCGGCCCCACAGTTTCCGCCTCGCAGGCCTAACTGGGTCCTGGGTCCACACGGGAGAAGTCTGGGCCCTTGTAACCAAGAGCCTTCAGATGCTTAAGATACCCTGTCCTCTGCCTGTATTTCCAAAGACTTCACGCACTCCAGCCGTAAAGAATGATAGCACACACAAGGGCACACCCGTCCACCCCCCAGCATCTCTCTCCTTCTCCCCAGAGGGCACCGCTGGCCTCATGGTTAGCTTTATCGTTAGTTTGCCTTTCAAAAATACTTTCACAATAGGGGCGCCTGGGTGGCTCAGCAGGTTTAGTGTCCAACTCTTTATTTATTAAAAATTTTTTTTCTTTTTTTTAATGTTTATTTATTTTTGAGAGTGTGAGAGAGAGACAGAGTGTGAGCAGGGAAGGGGCAGAGAGAGAGGGAGACACAGAATCCAAAGCAGGCTCCAGGCTCCGAGCTGTCAGCACAGAGTTAGACATGGGACTCAACGCACGAACCCTGAGATCACGACCTGAGCCAAAGTCGGACCCTCAGCTGACTAAGCCCCCCAGGCGCCCCATCAGCTCAGGTCTTGATCTCAGGGTGGTGAGATCGAGCCCCACATTTTACTCCATGAGCACAATGTCCAAAGGACACACTGTTAGGCAGGGTTTGAACACTTACGCTCTGCCCCTCACTTTCCCTTCTCAGCATGAAGCTCGCGAGGGTCATCCGTGCAATGTGATCCCACAGTCGTATCAAATGAATACACGTCACAGTGGGAAACGATTAATGACCTGACAGACCAAGACTACGTGTCGCAAACCGGACCTGTTTGTGCGCCGCTGGAGGGGAGTAAACCGCTAGGCACATTTGGGAAGAACGGTGTGGGGGGCGTCTGGGCGGCTCGGTCGATTGAGCGTCTGACTTTTGATTTCGGCCCAGGTCATGATCTCACAGTTCGTGAGATCAAGCCCCACATCAGGCTCTGTGCTGACAGTAATGAGCCTGCTTGGGATTCTCTCTCTCTCTCTCTCTCTCTCTCTCTCTGCCCCTCCCCTGCTCACCCTCTCTGTCTCTCAAAATACATAAACATAAAACAATAAAAATAAAAAACAGCGTGGCCTTATTTGTCCAGTGGAGCTGAAGACGGTGTGCTCCCTGGAACCAGCGACCCTTCCCAGAGGGTGCCTGAGAGCGAGGCGTGCACCTGTTCTCCAGGAGGCCTGGGTGAGGGCGCCCAGAGGCGGCAGGTGGCAAGGGCCCAGATGCACCACCTTCTCCATTCATGTACCCACTTCACAGACGCACACTGAGCTCCCGTTAAGGGCCAGGCGCTGGGAATCTGGACAGGACGGACAGAGGTACAGAGGTGAGCGGTCTGGGATCAGTTCGGGTATGTATTACTGTCCCCACCTTAGAAGCTGAGACTCAGAGAGGTCAGGTGTCTCTCCAGGACCCAAACTCAGGTCTGCCTCCAGGGCCGGTGCTCTCCACAGCCTTGCCCCACTATTTCCAGGGGCCTGCTCATCGGACAGGCATGTTATGGTGTCGGTGCCCTCCTTCAGTGCTCTGCTCCGGCCCAAACTCAGTCCTGGGGTGCGGTCAGTGAGTCAGCAAACACCTGCCGGGAGCTCCGTGTGGGCAGGACAGCCAGTCCCAGCCCGCCCCCAGCCCCCAGCCTGCACCCCCAGCCCACCCCCAGCCCCTGCTCCAGTCCAGTCCAGCTCTTCTCTGTCTGCTTCTCCCCAAGCTGGGGGCGCCGGTGGTGGTGGTGGGAGAGGAAGACTCAACTTTAACCAAGGGACAGGGGCTTGAGTCCCAAGTCGGTCACCCCCTGGCTCCGTGGGGCCCATGGTGGCCCTGGAGGAAGATGAGGGGATGAGACCTCCCTATGAGGTCCCTCTGACTCATCCTCCGACCCCCCGCCCCCACCAGCTTTGTTCCCGGAGAGAGGGTGGATGTGCAGGCTGAGGCTGGGCTCTGCGCTCAGGTTCTGACTGTGTGCTCTTGGATAGGTCACTTGACCTCTCGGAGTGGTTTCCTCCAGCAAAAACCACGGACGATGACGACAGGATCGCCTGCTCTAGGGTTTAGAGATCGGTCCCCGGGGACGCCGCGCTTCCTGAGGCAGCAGCGGCCCCTGGTGGCCGCGCCGCAGGGCACAGGTCTGCGCGGAGCCCGGAGCCCGCCGGGGGGCGCCCTGCCTCTTTGCAAGCTGCTCTTCTAACGCGGGCGGCCAGAGACCGAAGGGAACAGCTGGACCCCCACGTCCTCTCCCCCAACGGCCTCGTCCACGCCCACGGGCCCCCTTATCCGCCCCGCTGGTCCATCATCCTTCTAAATGGCAGGCCCGCCCTGCACGTCTCCCTAGGCCACAGCACCACACCCCCTATCCCCACCTGTCACTCTTCTGGAACTGACATTCCAAGAATTCCCACGTCTCTTCCGTCCTCTGCACTCCCGGCCTCCCCACTCATCACACCCCACCTTGGTGGTGGCCACAGCCTCCTGACCGACCATTCTCTCCCACCGCACCCCACCCCACCTCCACCCTCCACAGTGATCTTCCTAAAACGAAGGTCTGACCAGATTACCCTTCGACTGGCTTGAAACCCTCTTGCTGCCTTGAGGGCAAAGTCCCCAGATTAAAAAAAAAATTTTTTTTTAAATGTTTATTTATGTTTTGAGAGAGAGACAGAGACAGAGCATGAATGGGGGAGGGGCAGAGAGAGAGGGAGACACAGACTCTGAAGCAGGCTCGTCCTTGGTGATTCCTTTGCAACATTTATTTAGCGCATATGGTGCACCTGGCATTCAATATTGCCTCATAAGTATTATCGTAATAAATAAATGGGAAAACCGAGACCCAGAGAGATACACTGACTCGTCCGAGTCGTCTAAAGGGACAGGGCTCTTTGTACAGTGACTTTTCCACCCCATCTGCTGTCCCTCAGCCGCCTCGCCAGGATGGAGGCTGGGAAGGCTGTGTGCCCTGCTGCGGAGGAGGCAGCCAGGCCAGCCCCACCGTCCTCTGGTTGGGTAAGGAGCCGGGACAGGGAGAGAAAAGGAGGGGCTGACTTCGGGATAGATGCCCCAGCCTCTGCATTATGAGGCAAAGAAGGTGGGAGGTAAGAAAAATGAGGTCATCTGAGATCTCCGTGACCACCTCCATAACATTCTAACCTATCTCCCTCTCCTGTCCCTTAAGAGCATTCTAGCAGACCCCGTCTGAGCTTCTCTCTCCTCTGTAGGAGGGGGGAAACAGGGGTGGGAGCCGTGCGCAGGCAGTCAGCCTCCCTCAGGCGGGGACCTCCTGGCACACAAAACCTCCCCTGCCCCTCCCTGTGGCCCCCCCTGTTCCCTGCCATCCCTCTCCAGAGTCTGTGTCCCTTATTCAGTGAGGCCCAGAGGGCAGATGAGCAAGCCCCCTGCCCAGGAGACCCCCACCCTTGAGGACCTGTCCCCTTGGGGACCCACACCCACTCACCTTGGGGGACATCACTCTTCTCCCCTGAGCAGAGGACGGAGAGGCCGCGGGCCGCCCTCCAGGGCTGGCTGCACCCCCAGGGCACCTGCACACAGGCTCCTCCAGCTCCATCTGCCTCCATGCATGTAGACAAGGCACAGAGTCCTTCCGGGTGGCTCTGGGGGAGCTCTTCGGGTGTGTGCGGCGCTCAGAGGCTGAGAGGCTGTCGCTTTTAGTTCTGGAGCTCAGCTGGGACATGGGTAGATTCAGAAAGTCTTCATCAAACATGACTCCAACTTTTCTTGCCGTTCAGTCTTCTTTCTCTGGGATCAATTCCAACCTATCAAGGTCCCTCTTAAAATACAGTATCCAGAGGGGCGAGTTTGCGAGTTCGAGCCCCGCGTCAGGCTTTCTGCTGTCACCATGGAGCCCGCTTGGATCCTCTGTACCCCCCTCTCTCTGCACCCCTCCCCGCTTGCGCTCTCTCTCTCCCCAAAATAAATAAATATTTAAAAATAAAATAAAATACAGTATCTAGAACTATACTCCAGGTGTGGAGGGCAATGAGGATGTCAGCACCTCTGATGTGGACACCTCGCATCCATTAACCACTTGCCTGTGTGGACACCCGCTTTACAGTGTTGGTTCACGACAAGCCGTGGTCTGCTAAGACCCTCTGGCTGTCTTCACTGCACACTCTACTCCTTTTTTTTTTTTTTTTTTTTTTTTTTTTTTAAATTGTGTTTTATTATTTTATATTTGAGAGCGCATGCACTTGAGCAGGGGGAGGGGCAGAGAGTCAGAGACAGAACCCGAAGCAGGCTCCAGGCTTCAAGCTGTTAGCACAGAGCCCGACCAGGGGCTCGAGAGGGTCTCGAACTCACAGACCTGTGAGATCGTGCCCTGAGCTGAAGTCGGAGGCTTAACCAACCGAGCCACCCAGGTGCCTCTCACCCCCCCGCCCCCCCATCTCCTCACCGCCCCCTCCCGCTTACTGTTCCTTTCTTATGCTGTTGACTTAGAAATCAAAAAACGGGGGCACCTGGGTGGCTCAGTCCGTTGGGCATCCAACTTCGGCCAGGCCACGATCTCATGGTTCGAGAGTTCGAGCCCCACGTCGGGCTCTGTGCTGACAGCTCGGAGCCTGGAACCTGCTTTGGATTCTGCGTCTCCCTCTCTCTCTGCCCCTTCCCCACTCACACTCTGTCTGCCTCTCTCTCTCAAAAAAAATAAAAAAATAAAATAAACATTTTAAAAATTAAAAAAACAGAAATAAAAAACCAGAATTTTACATTTATCCCTATTAAATGTCACCTGGTTCATTTTTTTCTCTATTCTGTCAACATCTTTCAGTTCTTGCATAATCTGTAGATTCAACAAATGCAGCTTCTATGCTTTCATCCTGGTCTTTAACAAAAACGTGTGACAGTCAAGACCAAGGACAGAGCTCTGAGCGGCGGCCCATGGAGCCTTCCCCACTTTTCTGACATCTCTGGGGATGGTCACTGAACTGTGTGTCTGTGCACTGTGGTACCATGTGGCCCACGTGTCCTGGGCCCGGGCATAGAGCGAGTGCAGCCGAAGGCCTCCCAAAAATCCGGGTAATCCAACGCAACCCCAGGGGGAGGAGAGGCGGCCACGTGTCTCTGCTTGTGCCCATTAAGCACCTGCTGGCCTCCACGAAGGGCCTTCTTTTCCCCAATTTGTCATTGCTTCAGGGATCGGTTATCTGTTTAGATTCTGCTGAGCATTGCTGTAGCTCTGCTAGGCTGTGCTTGTCCCCACCTTCTCCTGCCTTAGGAGAATCCATACCACACTCTTCGCCAGCATTCTAGAGCATCGCTGCTCCCCGCGACCCCCAAACTCACCAAGAATGTTCATGGGAGAGTTTGCTCCAGTGTAATGGCCTTCATGGTGATGGCTCTCCCAGACCTCCCCACACGTGGTCTTGTTTGAGCTTCAGAACAAACTTAGGGGAATGGATACATAGTAACCTCCTTTACCAACCAGGTAAACTGAGGGTCGCTTAGAGAAGTTATGTGGCTTGCCCAAGGTCCTTTAGCCAGAAAGTAACAAAAGTCAGACCCGGCGCTCTCTGCATGACACGGTGTCAAATTTCTCCCACCTGTGTGAGAGTGTCAGGGCCTGTCCACCCCACTGCCACCCACCCCATCCCTCCAGGGAGCCCCATCAAGGACCCCAGGGGATCATGAGTAGGCGGCATCTCTCTCCGCAGCCAGGATCTGAAAGGGGACAGACTGGAAGTTAGCTCTGTTGGACACAGCTCTTGGGAGCCGCCATCCCAAGCCAGACAGCGGGCTTTGTGAGGTCATGTGAGAATGGAGAAGCCTCAGCCTCGGTCTGCACTGACTCAGTTCCTCTGTTCCCCACCCCTCCGGGGCCAATTCCAAAGCGCAGTCGGCCTGGGGACAGGGGTGGGGTATTGGTGGCATGGCCTTCTGGTCACTGACCCTGTTCCTCCGCCCACCCAGAAGCCCTCTCTATTCTCCGTGCTCCCCCAGCTCCCTGGCTCCTCCAGGGCTGGGGCGGGGTGCTGACACATAGCAGGTACTCGGTGCATACTTCGTAGCCTAAGTTGGATTTCCGTGAGCAGAAGATCCCCAAGTCTCCCTTTTTGACCCTGCCTCCCCTTTACATACTGCACATCTTACTTGCTCCTCACTACCCAGCCCCAGGACCCTCCCCTCCTCCAGAAGACCCGCCCAAGTGCTCCCACCCCAGTGAGCTCTCCGCTTCCAGAACTGCAGAACCCTCAAGGGAACGTTTTGAGGATGCAGAGACTGTCAGTAACATGTTGGAACGGGATCTGGCACATTACAAAGGCTGAGTGAATTGGGGCTGCTTGTGAAAAAGAGCGGCCCCTTCCGGGCCTGATCTGTTCGCCACCAGGGGGCACCCTCTGCCCAAAAAACCCCCTGACACGGCGGGGGGCGGGGGGG